TAGGGAAAAGTTTTGTTTATTTATCATAAGTGACATCAGGAAAAGAAAGGAAATTGTCACTTTAAAATGGTTTCTATCTCAAGATATGGTTCTTTTGAATGATTTTCATTCAAGGAGCATTTATTGAGAATCTATGACATGCAAAGCCCTGTGCTAGAATCAAGAGATTATTTTTTAATGGCTAGAGAGAGAAATGGCTGTTACCTTCAAAGCTGTTACAGTCTGGTTGAGAGGTATAAATAACTAGTGATGGAACAAGATAAAAGAAAAAGCTGTGGGAACACTGAGGAGGCGACTCCTGCAAGAAGACTGGGATTGGGGAGGCTTTATGAAGAAACCAGGATTTGAACTCAGCCTTGAAGGATGAGCAGAATCTCTGTATGTGGAGAAGTTGGGCTGGGAGGCAGATTCCCAGTTTGGCAAGGAGCAGGAACAGAGCCTCCACAGTGACAGAGTGCATATACTGCACACCTCATCTTCTCCCGGATCTGCTGCAAGGACTTCCTGACTGATCTCCAGTCAGTTCCTCCTCCAGCCTCTGCAGACCCCAGTCCCTACCTCACACCACTGCCACTGCTCTCTTATTTCCATAGAATGTTGGACATTTATTGTGTGTTCACTATTAGCCTATATCTGCATAATGTTCCCTAAGTTTTTTCCAGTTTTTTTTTTATTGAAGTATAACCACTGTTAATAGTGTGGGTAGGTATCCATCCAGTTTCTCCATCTCTCTGACTCTCTCCAACTGCTTTTTACTCCCTATATATAGTATATAGATCTAGATATACATATATACACACACACTACATACATACATACATATCATTTTATTTACATATACATACTTACCAGACTATATATGTATACACATACATGTATGTGTATATATATAACATACCGTATGTGTGTAAGTACAGTGAACTAAGCAATTGTATATATATCCACATATATATTTGATACATTTATAGAGAATCTAATGCCTCTAAATAGTGTGTCTATTTATCCATACGTGCACATAAATGTTCACGTGTGTGGAGGAATGTGTGTTTACTCTCACATCTGTGGATTTTGGGGGACTATTCCTTTGCCTAAAACCTTTTGCTGGGCACATCACATGCTGGGTTAAGTCCCAGCTCTTAGCCCACTGTCCCAAGCCCCACGCGATCAGGCCACAGCCTACCTCCACCTCCAGCCACCTCTCCAAGGAATCTACAGTGGGGAGCAAAAGGAACACTGCTCCTCCTGAGCGCGTTCTTCAAAACTGGGGTCCTTTCAGTGATTATTTTTCAGGATCAATATGCTGACGTGACTTGCTAAGGCCATGGTGAACAAAAGCTAAGGGGAAGCAGTGTGAGAGCAAGACTAATAAACATGCAGAGAAGTCAAATTCCTGTTTTATGGGCTCCCTCGCCCCTCCCAAGACATGAAGCCCTCCCTCTCCCATCTGACACCCCTGTGTTCAGGCTTGACCTTGACACTGCTGCACTCACGCTGAGAGCTTTATAAACTGCTCATAGGTCCTTGAACAAGCCCAGCTGTATCCCATCTCTGTGCTTTTACATAATTTCGTTCCTCCAGCTGGAATGCCCTTACTTGCCATAGGATGCTAGGCAAACTCTAATTATCTTTCAAAACTTGGCACACACAAGGGTGTTTTTTCTATCTGGAGGCCACAGTGAGATGTCTCTTACCCAGTGATTTAGAAATAAGGCTACCACAGAATAAAACAAGCAAACCACATACACCGTGTATGTGATCAGCCCTCTGGAGGACAAAGACAAGCAATTGTGTATAAATATGTGACTGAAGAATTTAGAGATGCTTGGATTTCAAAAAAGAAAGAAAGGGAAAAAAACCCGCAAAACCCTGTAATTTAATAAACAGAAAGGCAATGGATTGTATTTGCCTTGTTCACAGTAAGATCATGTGAGGAGAAAGATCTGGTAAACCCAGGAAGCAGAGAGGAGAGAACAGTGAGAAGTTCACAGAGATACAGGCTGGCAGGTGCATGTCATTAATGTTCACTGCTGTGTATTAATCTAGCACGTGAATCAACTACAATTTATCTCCTATTGGTAGAAATTAATATGGTTCCAATAACTAGCCGTTATAAATACTGTTCAGTAGGCATTTCTGCTCATGTTTCTTTATATTCATGAGCTTGAATTTTCCAGAGTGTCTTTTCAGGAGTGGAATTACTGGATTGTAAGCGCTGAGTCTGTTCAACTTTACTAGATAAGGTCGAATTGTTCTTCAAAGTGGTTGTGCCCATTTCTGCTGCAGCCACCAGTGGAATAATGTTTCAGCTGGTCTGTATTCTTACCAACACTCACTACTGTTAGTCTTGTTCGCTGGTGGGCTGCACTGAGAATGTGGTCTCATCATTGTTCTGCTATGCATTTCTCTTATTACTACTGAGACTGTGCACATCTTTCACACTTACAGACCACTGGGTCTCCTCTTCTATTTATACTCTTTCCCCCATTCTTCTACTGGCTAATTTTTATTCTATTTACTGTTTCACAGGAATTCTGTGTGTGTGTGTGTGTGTGCACGTGCATGTGTGTTTTGGATATATTCTCCTGGTCCATGACTTGTGTTTCACCAAAAAATCATCTGTGCCTCAATTTTCTCATCTGTAAAATGAAGTAACATTACTAAGCAAGTATGTATTATTGTGTTATCCAGTAAGTACTGAGTATTATTAAGCAAATACATAATGTATTTAGAACAGTGCCTAGCATCTAGGAAGCAGTATATAAACATACATTACTATCATCAGTGTCTTTTGATGGCAAGAAATTTTAATTATTTTTATAGTACCTTTTGATGAATAGAAAATTGTGGTTTTAATGTCTAAATGTATTAATCTTTTCTTTCATTGTTTGTGCTTTTCGTGCCTACAACTGGCTTTTTATCCTTGTTCTATGTTTTGCCCATTCTATGAGTGTTTTTACAGTTAAGGTTTCCCATAAAACCCTATGGAACCCATTAGAAGAGGAAGCTTAAAGAGAACACTTAAATCATTGCCTTTGTGTTTTAAAGAACGGTGGCTTTTCCTTCTAGACTTTACCGTGAATACCAAACGTGTGCTTTAGTTGACTTAATTAACCCTATAAAACAAGACTTTTATCATGGCTTCTTATTGAACATATATTGGTAGTTCTTATATGATATTTAAATTTAAATTTTTTATTTTTTGTGATTTTTTTTCTGTTTTCTTTCCTACAGTTGCTTTTTGTTCAAATGCCGATATTTTACAGATATGCTAGAGTTAGTCTTTCATTCTCACAAAACTTACCAGACGCCAACAAATACATGAATTGCTTTACCAATGACCACGTCTGTTCAGTGAACTGAGTTGATTTGCGGTTCTGTGAAAGGAAATCCTACACATCACATTAGCTAAGTATTGTAGTCATCTTGCAATGTCATTCTCCATGATTAAAATCACTTCCAGGCCCCTTTGTGGTTGACTATTCCCTTCTGCTCTGTTGAAGACATTATAATACTCGTTGGGAAAGTTCTGTGCCTACAAAAGCAGTAGCAGTCACTCTTCAGTGGAGATGCTGGCAAATACAGAGCAGCACTGTCCAAACTCGTGATCAAGATGGGCTACCAGCCACAAAATTGAACTTCACAGGACAACCTGATAGTGAAAATAAATGCTGGGAAAGTTCCAAAGCTGCTTTCTGGAGAAACGTCAGCTTTGCCTAGATACCCCTGGGACTCTACCATTTGGAGATCCTCAGAGAATAGATATTGAATTTTCTGCCATTCAGTTTATATCACAAATCTACCCCAAAGTGATACTCAGGGAAGATCAGCTGTAATTTTCCATTTTGGTGGTGGGGGTAGGGGTTATGAAGTTCCTTTTCTAAGACAGTATTATTTAGAAGTTACTCTGGTTGAAGTGGGAGGGGGACGTTCTGAAATTTAGTTCAAGAGAAGGAACCGATATACTTCTTTCTTTCCAACAGTGAGAGTCATATATTAGAATATGTGTCCTTTGTTTCCCTGGCCAGGAAGTTTAATGCCCAATTCAAACTGCAATCGTAGCATCTTTGTTAATGTTTATTATTAGTACCTATGCATTTTATTTTTCCCTTGGTCCTGATTTTCTATTCCTATTTTCCTAAATTACTACATATGTTCTAAATATCTGTCTCCAGCTCAGATCACTTTCCAGAGATCCAGAACCAACTGTCTTCTCAACATCTCAGTTTCGATTTCCACAAGCATCTCAAACTCAAAAACGTCTAAAGCTGCACTGAATTCCCCACCTAAAAAAACAAACAAAATCCAGCTCTTTCTGCTTGCTTTTCTCAGCGCCCCGTCCATCCACCAGCCTAAGGCAGAAGCAATCTTAGTGATGTTTGGTTCCTCTCTTTTCTCACCGTCTGTCGTTGTCAGAACATGCTAGGTTATACTGCTGTTAAGCAAACAACCCCCAACTCTCAGTGGCTTAACACAGTGGGATTTTATTTCTCCTTCTGACTACGGAGTCCAAGTGAGGGCTCTGCCCCACTTTCTCATACCGCCCCCAGGTCCCAGGCTGAGAGAGCAGCCACTATCTGGGACATTCTTGGTCAGCGTAACAGAAGGAAAAGAGCTCTGAAGGGTTCCATCCCGGCGATTTGATGCTCAGCCCCAAAGCTACACATATCACCCCTGCTAGATGTGATAACTTGGCCCTATCACCCAGCCATGGACGGCCAAGAAGCACAACCTTACCACGTGCCCGGAAGGCAGAGAACAGAAACATTAGTAAGCAGTGTTACTGACTACCACACTGTCTTAGGATGCAGTCCTCAGAAGCAGACCTGAGATGAGGATTCATGTGAAACTGACTCAGGAAATGCCACTAGGAAAAAACAGTAAGGGAGGGAGGAAGGGAAACATGGGAGAAAAGGAAGTGAAGCAAGTATTTGATATCAAACAAAGTCCGTTGGAGGGGGATTTAGGCTCAACTCCATGGAAGAGTCTGGAGACAGTCATACCTGAGAGCAGTCTGGACCAGGGTCAAGGAAGCTGGGAGGAGTTATACTTCTGCGCCAGAAGCCATTTGCTCTGTCTCTCCCCATGGCGATGTGAATCCCAGATAGTCTGGCTCTCCTTGCAGGTGTTGGCTATTGGAAGTGAAAACACAGCATGAACTTGGTAAAGGGATCCAAGCGCACACAGGGGGAGCATTGACATCATCTGCCAACTCCCTGCTTCAAACCAAGAGATCACCGCATCCTACTAGTTCTGCCTCCCAGGTATTTCCTTAATTGTTCCGTTTCTCTCTACTCTTGGCTGCCTCCTCCCTCAAGTACCCCTTGAGCCCACCATCCTTGATCTTCTGCCACTGCAGTCAGAATACCCACCTGCTGTCCTGACAGCTCCAATCTATCTTCACACCACAGCCACTAAGAATCACTTTCTGTTTCCCTGGTGATATCTCAAATTTGTCATGCCTCTTTCCTAATCAAGATACAATCCCTATTTTGTAGATGAGAAAACTGAACCTCAGGGAAGTTAACTTGCCAATTCAGGTAGTAACTGGTAGAGCCAGAATATAAATCGGATACATATTAACTCCAAAACCTTTCCCATTCTATTTCACTGTTTCTGGATCATGATTAACTGTCCACTTTACCCTGATTACTACCCAATTCTATAAGCTTTGAACTCAATTTAGTTAAGTGAAACTTATCATATTCCTCACCTCCCTCATCAAATGTCCTGCTCTTGAGTCCCCAGTGTCAACAGTGGCCCTGCCATCTTTTGATGTCACCCTTTACTCTTCTTTCTCCTTCCTTTCTTGTTTTTCCACAGTTCCTGTACTTCTAAGTGCCCGTCACGGCAGGTAGGGCTGGCATTCTGTGCCAGACAAGTACCCATACGTGGGAGGTCCAGGAGCTGGGCCCAGTGGGGGCTCATTAGTAGTAGATATCATTCCAGTGATATCCACTGTGCCAAGAAATGAGATCAGAATCCAGGGCATGAAGCCAAAGTTGGCCAGTCAGTTTGCCAAGCTGGAAGTTCTTGGACACAGCAGTTAGCACAGGGAGACAAGCCAGTGGAGAGGAGTGATTGATGATGGAAATGAAAAAAGCAGATATGGATGGAGCAGGGGCCTGGGGGAGGTAATGAAAGGGATCACCATATGGCTCTTTGGGAGTGGACTGACTGATGACTCTGGTCTCGAGGAGAAGGAGGTGTATGTCTGGCATATAGTAGGTGCTCAAAATAATACTGGAAGTTCTTAATGAAAATATCTGTCCTCTAGTCCCTGGAGGCAACTATTTTGAACTAATTTAGTTTTTCCCCCCTAAACTTGGCATTTATCTTCATATTTCTAAGTAATATATTTATACTGCTATTTCTTGATTTATCAATTTAAAACTCTTAACCTCCTATTAGGTAGATGATAATTTAGTCTGTTGTACTGCCACCTCCTACTTCCTTTCTTCTCCAGGATAAAAAAGTCTAGATAAATCAGTAGCCAATGAATTATTATGGCTATGTAAATATAGTTTAGTGATGATCCAATTAATTATATATTATATCTTGCATAAAGTTTTACCTTTCCTGGAATGAACAATTTTTCAAATTCTGTTTTCTGTTTTCTCTTTTCCAAAGTGGTTCATCTGCTCTGTCAAGTACTCCCAGTAGGTTTTTCTTCCCCCTCGCCCCAGTGCTCGAGCCTACTGATAATCCAGTTCCATGTTTCTCTTGGAGGCCTCTCTCCCACAGCACGCTACCCACCCATGCAGTCTGAGTGAGTTGCTCTTCAGCCCTACTGCACCGTGGTCATGCTGAGAATTCCCTGCTCTCTCAAACTACTTCTCTTCTGTTGGGTTTTCTTTTCCTAGAGTCAACGACAGTCTTTCCCTTGGTTTGCTCTCTGTGTTAGCTGAAGGGCAGCTTCCAGCAGGCTCCAAGAAAGGAGAGTGTCCCTTAATCAACCCCTACACCTGACTCATGGTTTGGCTGGATGATTTTAAAGTCATTACTCCATTATCTTCTATTATCCAGCGGGGTTGAGAAGTCTTATGACACTCAGATTCTCATTATTTTGTGTATAACCTGATTTGTCTCTCTGGAAGCTTTTAAGATTGCCTCCTTATGTCTGATGCTCTGAAGTGTCAGGGATGCGCCTCCTTGTGGATATTTTGCTTATCATGAGGGCCCTTTCAGTCTGGAGGTTCTGTGTCCTTCAGATGTGGGACATTTTCTTGTATTTTTCCTTGGGAAACATTCTTCCTTTTTTTTTTTTAATGATGTCTGATCTCCTGGATTGATGCTCTGTTCACGTCATCAGCCCCTTTCTGTTCTATTTTCTGTTTTTGTCTTTTTATTCCACTTGCTGGATGATAAACTTGACTTTCCAACTCTTTATCACAATGTTTTATTTCAGTTTTTGTATTTTTTGAATTTCCAAGCGTTCTTTATTTTTCCGTACTACCCTATCCTTGTTTTATGGATGCAAAATCTTCTATTGTTTTTCCAAAGATATTATTTATTGATTGGTTTTGTTTTCTTCTGTTCTTATTCACTTTCATCAGACTCCTTTTTTTCCTGTTAGTTTTGTTCTATCTTTTCTTGTTGGAATTTTTGGAATCAAATGTTTATTGTTTCTGGTCTGGTAGATTTGGAAGAGGTACATTTTCCTCTGGCTCTGAGGATTCCCACAGGCTCCTCTGTGGATGGAATTTGCCATCCTATTATACAACATACATTTTAAAATTAAAAATAAGTTTTTGTCACCTTGATAAAATCTCAAGATAACCTTTTGAGGGATCATGCTATCCAGAGACAGTCTGGACAGTTGCCTGCATGAGCACATTCAACCTGCTTTTTTCAGAATTCTGTCCTAACGCAGCTCATTTCTGCACAGGTGGGCTGCACGTTGTGATAGCCTGAGCTGGATTGCCTTTCCCCTTTCCTCCTCAGCTCAATCTTAGCCTTCTTCAGACTTCGGTGGGGGGTATCATTTCTTCCCAGAAGTCTTTCTGGGTCTCCTTTTCTCTCCTAGAGTTCTCCGAGTTTACCTCCATCTCAGACGGCACTTCTCACATGATCTGCTCGGCACTGGTTCACTGAGCCATGAGCTCAAGGACAGAGACCTTGTCCCACTCATCCCCGTCTAGCGATGCATCAGCAGTCATGTTCTGAAGGAATGAATCCAGCCCCATTTGGAATCGTCGCTCCTCTGTAGAGCAGGTGGATGTAAAGGGCGGGTCATGTCTTGTACATCTAACAGCCTCCTTTCCTTGGGGAGAAGCCAGAAAATGAGAGATGCTTCAGTATGGATCTCTGGAGTAGTCAAGAGCTTCAACCAACCTCCTCTTCCAGAGACAGTTTTCTAAAACTTTCTTGAATCTCACTTCCTCTTTTTACCTTGCATATCCACCCTTGCTGGAAATGCCAAAAGATAATAATGTAAACCAAGCACAAAGAGACAGAAAGAGAGTTTGCATCATGAGTTCCTACATTAGTGGTAAGGGGGCAAACATTGTGCTTTATTCACATTCACATGTGGGGACTTCACAGCCTGTTATGGGCTGAATGTTCGTGTCCCCTCTCCCCAGTTCATATGTTGAACCCTAACCCCCCAAGCATGACTGTATTTGGAGTGAGGGAGCAATTAAGGTTAAAAGAGGTTGTAAGTGTGGGCCCTGAACGAACAGAACTAGCGTTCTCCTAAGAAGAGACACAAGGGAGCTCCCCACTCCACTCTACACTTGCACCATGTGAGAACAGAGCAGGAGGGTAGCCTTTTGCAAGCCAAGAAGAGAGCGCTCACCAGACACCAATTGACTGGCCTTGTAGCCTCCAGAACTGTGAGAAAATTAATTTCTGTTCTTTTAGCCACCCAGTCTATGATGTTTTGTTATGAGAGCCCGAGCAGACTAAGACACAGCTCTTGGAACATGCCTTCCTCATAGTGAGCAGTCAATACGTATTTGTCAAATGTGTGTGTATGTAATGATCTGTCTATAAAAGATAGCTGTCTGTGAAGATTGTGACTATGAGTCATTTTCATTTTTGTTACTTATACTTGAGTATAATTTGAACTCTTTATGGGGTAGGTATATTACATTCTATAAAGTTCTTTACAAGTCATAGCTAGATAGATGGTGTGGTATGCAGAAGAGACCAGGATGTAATCATAGGTCTTGGAGACAATGTTCTGGACTGTGGAGCAGCAGACACTCCCCGTGCGGGCTGCACACCATGTCTCCTATCAAGGCAAAAGCATCTGTGGGGGTGAATTTCCTGAAGGTCTGTGTGGAGGTCCTAGGATGGATGGGCACAGGTGTGAGCTCTGCAAGGCTGGGGTCGGGGTCTCACTTTGCTCATCATTATACGCCCAGTACCTAGGACAGTGGCACATGGTAGTGAATATTTGTTGAGTCAAAAGAAAAAGCCCATCATTCTTCTGGTTAAGTATGAAAAGAATAGGAAATATTTGCTGGACAATCAAATGAATGACGCAAGGGCATCTCAGACTCAAAGTGATTACATTTCTCTGGAAATCTGAGAATGACTATATCTAATAAGAAGAATCAAGTCATAGGAGATTTTGACAGGAAGTGAAGGAGGGAGGCAGGAGGGCACAGTTCAGCTGTTTGACACCCAGCTTTCTGAATTCCTGAGTTACTGTCCCTGGTTCCTTTAAATAACTTTTGTCAGTGTCAGAAGGTCTGGTCTTACGAGGCCAGGACAGTTGTTTGGAGGCTCTAAGACTAGAATTAATGAACCTGTCCCCACTCCTAAAGAGGCTGACTTGCTGGAACTTGAACCCAATAGGCTTCCAGTTGTGATATAACTGTTGTGCTAGGGGCCTCTTGTGGTAACTCTGCACACTTCATCTCTCAGCACCTAGAACACACATGCGCACGCACATACACATACTCATACTCAGAAGCGAAATTATTATTATTATATGGGGAATAAGTACAAAATCGAATGTAGAAATACAAACGGTCAGTAAACATTAAAATTTTTTCAATATCTCTAGTAATTAAAGAAATTTAAAGAGTGTGTGTGTGTATGTGTGTGTGTGTGTGTGTTTAGTACTGAATTTTAAAGAAAGTTATACCCACTGCTGGGATAAGGAAAATAGGCATTAGGCATTCCTATAGGCTTGGTGTGAGTGTGCACTGACAAAACGATTAGTAAATTAGGCTTTAAAATTGCTTTCAAATGTTCACATTTCCTGACCCAGTAATTCTACTCCTAGAAAATTTTCCAGTGGAAATGACTGAAGATAGAGATAAGTTTTTCATATTAGGATTTCACTGAAGTTAGTTACACAGCAGAAAAAAAGGAAATGTGCAAAAATAGGAATATGGCCAAGTAAATGATATTTCCACAGTATTTTCAAGTAATATTTGTTGACATGGAGGCATGCTTATAATATAACGC